TGGGGCCTCCTCTGGCCTCTCTCCAACAGCTCCGTGTCCTCCCTGTGCTGGGGGCTCCAGAACTGGCCCCAGTTCTCTAGGGGGTCCCAGCAGAGCAGAGCAGAGGGGACAATCCCCTCCCTGGCCCTGCTGGTCACACTCCTGGTGACACAGCCCAGGACACGGGGGGTTCTGATGGCTCATGTGGAGCTTCTCCTCACCCAACACCCCCAGCTCTTTCTCCTCCACCCTCACCCCAGCTCCTTCTCCTCAGGGCTGCTCTCCAGCCATTTCTCCCCCTCAATATCAACCCCATCTCCCTGAAGGCTTCGGGGCAACTACCTCCAGATGGAGTTTCTTCTGGAGAAGCTGCTCAGGGACAACACCCATGGAGTTGGACCCCCCCTCCCCAGCAGGGATTTGGCCACTCACCATTTTAGCTTCGGAGTGTACTGGGAGTCCTGAAGGTGAAATGGACCCACTGCTGTTGATGGGTGGCCCAGGAATCCCAGGAATGTTGGGCACCATGGAGACAGGTCGAGCCAGCTGTGGGGAGGAAGCAGCAGAAAGGTTTGGAAGCTGAGGAGCTTTCCTGAGCTGGTTCCTTGCAGCAGCTCAGCAAGAATTCCCACACACACACACATCCCCCCTTCACCCCCCGAGCCCATTTATAAATCTTGACAAACATTTGGCATTTAATAGTGCCATCCATCCTGGCTGCTGTCACCCAAGGCCACCAGCCACTCCTTTGGTGGCCAGGGAATCACCCAGCTGGGATGCTGAGGACAGCCTGAAACCCTCCCTCCTTCCCTTCCCTCCCAGAGGGTTTCTTTCCCACTGGGGGGTGTGAGATTCCCCTCCTGGTTCTCTCTGCCCAAGCTGCCACCAACACCCAGGGGAGGTCACAGCTTCCCCTCTGACACAAGCTGAGCTTCAATCCTCAGCAAGAAAGAGGGGAAAAAAGCAGGATTTCTGCTTCTTTTGAAAAGAGTTGTTGCAAAGCTCCACCCACATGGGGTGTTGCAGAGGAACAGGAGGGTGTGAAGACGTTTCCATGCCCAGGAGCTACACCAACCTGCCTCTGCCTACTTTGCCACCAACATCCCTTGCTTCCTGAGGCAGAAGGTTTTGGTTCTTCCTCCTTCCAAACCCAGGAGGACAAGCAGGACTCACAGGGGCTGCCTGGTGAGGAGCTGAAGATGTAGGAACCCCCCACCAGGCACAGCTGAGTCCTGCCCCATGGAAAACCCTCCCTCTGCAAAAAGCCCAACCCTCAGGGTTAACATTCCAAGATCTCTCCAGTGAGGGTGGATTTCCTGGCCTGCAAAGTCCAACATGTTCTCTGCAAGCTCCAGTGGAGCCACCCAGTTCCAAATGGAAGCAGCTCAACAGGGATCCTACAGTTCCCAGCCCCGGATCGATGCATGAACCATCTGTCCGGGCAGAGCTTTGTTTTCTTCCAGATTTATTGCCCTCTAGTGTGATCGACATGTTATTACTGCCCTGCCAGAGCTGCCTTCCTCTTCCTCCTCCTCCTTCTGCTCTTGCTCCTCCTCCTTCTTCTGCTGCTCCTACTCCTGCTCCTCCTCTTTTTCCTACTCCTCCTCCTTCTGCTCTTACTCCTGTTCCTTCTCCTGCTGCCCCTGCTCTTGCTGCTGCTCCTCCTCCTCCTTTTTCTTCTTCTTCTTCTCCTTCTCCTCCTTCTGCTGCCCCTGCTCTTGCTGCTCCTTCTCCTGCTGCCCCCTGCTCTTCCTCCTCCTCCTGCTGCTGCTCCTGTTCCCCCTCTTCTTCTTCTCCTTCTCCTCCTCTTCTTCCACTCTTCTCTTGCACAGAGGGGGAAGAGATATTTTAATTCTTTACCAAATGGAAGTGTCTGGGTGTGTTTGGCAGGGGTGAAAAAGAGTGTGTTCCCAGCCAGAGCTGTGCTGGAAGCTGCTCTCACCGAGATCACTGAAGGCATCTGCACGGGAGGGCCTGGGAGGACAGGCATGGTCTGGCCATTGGCAAGCTGCACCACCAGGGGAAGGGAACCTGTAGGAGACCTGGAGAGACAACAGTGCAGGTTCTCGTGGGTTATTTCCAGTTCATGCTGGCCCAGGAGCTCAGGGCAGAAGTGTTGAGTTCCTTCTGCTTGGTGGATGTGGGCTTGTTTGCCCATTTCTGACAAGCACATGTGAAGGGAACTCAGGCTCCTGACGTGCCATGGAATGGCAGCCAGAAGAGGCCAGGACCACAGCAAGGGGACACAGGCTGCTGAGGGGTGCTGGGGTGTTGAGGGAACCCAGAGCTGCTGAGGGGTGCTGGGGTGTTGAGGGGACACAGGCTGCTGAGGGGTCCTGGGGTGTTGAGGGGTCCTGGGGTGCTGAGGGGACACAGGCTGGTATGGGGACCTTGGGCTGCTGAGGGGTTCTGGACTGTTGAAGGGACCTGAGCTGCTGAGGGGTCCTGGGCTGCTGAGGGGACACAGGCTGGTATGGGGACCTGAGGTGTTGAGGGGCCCTGAGCTGCTGAGGGGACCCTGGGCTGCTGAGGGGACCTTGGGCTGCTGAGGGGACCCTGGGGTGCTGAGGGGACCCTGGGGTGCTGAGGGGTTCTGGGGTGCTGAGGGGACCCTGAACTGCTGAGGGGTCCTGGGGTGCTGAGGGGTCCTGGGGTGCTGAGGGGTCCTGGGGTGCTGAGCGGACCCTGGGGTGCTGCTCCCTGCCCAGGGCTGCAGTGACACCGGTGCCACGGTCAGGATGTGTCCCTGTTCCCTCCTGGGCAAACCCCACAGGACCCAAAGCCCTGGGACACGACTCCCACCCAAGCAGACCAGACAGAAAACACATCCAGGGGCTGCTTCCTCTGCTCCTTGGGGAGATCCAAAGTGTCCAAGATGATCTTTAAGGTCCCTTCCAACCCAAACCATTCCATGTTTCTATGATTCTATCACCTCATTGTGACCATTTCAAAATCCCAGGAACTTTTCCCATTGCTGATCCCTTGGCAGCAAAAGGCAAAGAGGTGACAAAGAGGCACAAAGAAACCCCCCCCCTGCCTGCACCCCAAAACTCCCCTTCCTGCTGCTCTGACCCTCAGCCTTCCTAGGAGAGCCAAGGAGAAGCCGGAGCTGATCTGCTCCAGTGGGAAAAGGGAGGGAATTGTCCCTGCCAGGCAGGGCTGAGCTCTGGATGCTCCTCAGCTCCTGACAAGGCAGCAGGGAACCGAATGGAGGCAGAGCCGAGCCAAGAAGAGCAGAGCAGAGCTGCTGCTGGGGGAGGGAGACAAAATACGGGCTGGTGCTGCCTCCTCTGCCCAGCCCAGGGAAGGGGATGGAGGAGGTTGGGCTGCCTGGGGTTGTGGGAGGGAGCTGAGAAGGGGAGGTGGGTCAGGGTGGGGGGGAGAAGGGGAGG